TGCTTAAAGTATAGTCATTATCAGACATAAGGTGTGCGCTCATCCATCTTTCAGCTCCAAGGATCCAACTCTGAATTATTGATGAATGCGCGTCTGTTTTTAGCTTGAGTTAGCTTATCTGATGTTATTTGCTCGGGATACCACCTGAAAGAAATCCAATGTTTAGTCTGGCTGTTTGCATTCTGTTGATTATTGCAGAAGTTGTCCAAGTATAAGGGTTGTATAGTCTCATAAAATATAGACAACAATTACCAATCATATGAATAATGTATTAGAGCATCTTATCAAGCAGTGCAGAAGCCTCAGTGCACTTGCACTTGAGAGCACTGAGTAAATCCTTCCATTATAATGTATTAGACATTGAAAGCCATTTTACACTTACATTGCAAGACTGGGCTGACTGCAAAATCTGAAATGTGTGTATTTTCTATGGCTATTTCTTATTCACTTCACTCACTGGCAACTATTCTAGGGTAAACATGCATAACTAGTAGGGGTGTAACGATATCCAAGTCTCACGATACAATATCGTCACGGTATGAACCTCATGGTAAGATATTTATTGTGATATTGTGGGAAAGCTCACGATATGGTGGGGAGACTCACGATTAGGGATATAACAATATCCAAATCTCTCAGTACAATGTTTTCATGATATACATCTCATGGTACAATATTTATTGCAATATTTTGTAGAGGCTAACAAAACTGTTAATATGCTCCTTTTTCCTCTTAAACTGCCTTGACAAGACTTAATCCAAGGAACTAAGACTTGAAAGTGCTTAGAACTGTTTTCTTCATGTAGTCTGCACTGAAATGGAGCAAAGGATCATGGTCTATGTAGTTCCCTCTGCTTAAATTAACAGTTATGGTGCAGCAATAGCTAAAAAAAAAGACAAAGAGACTTGTAATTCGATATACTATATATTGTGAGAACTTTGGCGATATGATATCATGATATTTCGGTTATTGTTACACCCCTACTAACTAGACCTTGTGAGTATAATTTAATCCAGTTAATTTGATGTAGCATCTCCATAATTTTGAAATCACTGACTTTTTATAAATTTTTGTTTAGCTTAACATCAGTATAAATTGTTTTTTAGCATTATCTTAGCCCTTGCATTCACGTTTATGCAGTGTTGGGAAGTAACTAAATAACCTACATATTGAAAATATTGAAGGATTCAGATTGCAGTTCTCTAATTGGACCATGCGACATCACAAAATACACTTCCCATATGCGGGTGGTGATCTTTCAGTACCACATAGGTCTTTTATCAGTGTGAAATTTACAGATTATCCAACCAGAACCAGAACCAGACAGTTTTACTTTGAGGCAGCCTATGACAAACGGTTAGTGAACCATAATGCGATTGTACCATTATATCTGGCTTCTCATATCGACCAACTGCTTTTCAAAGTTGATTCCTGGAGACAGTGTGACCTTTATTCTCCGTTTCCTCTCCGTCTGTTTTTTGGCTTGTTTATTGTCTCTTGCATGTAGTCCTGTCCTAGTCACCACACAAGTATTTTTAGGTTTGAAGTTCCCTAGACGATGCTTCTATTGGCTGAGTAAGGAAAGATTAGCTTGGTGACTTCCTCAATGTTCAGATACCCAGTAGAAAAGGATTAGTCATAGTCAAAGAATGTGTGGATGGACTAGATTATAAACTGAGAAATTTAGCATCTAGCCTATTGCATACATGGCTGTCAACCGTACAACTTTTCAGTCATTTAATATATGGAAATAATTTACAAATATTCATGAATTGGTCTTATTTCTATATTGTAAAGGCCATGTAGTAGATCATCAAATGTTAAGTAAACAGTAGAAGAGAATAGAAGTGCTTGAAGAGACCCAGTCCCATATTTCATCATGGGTCAGAGTCCACAGAATTTGTTTTAGGAGTGGGTGTTTGATCATATCCTGAAATGCTAATGTAATTCATTTTCATCTTTATTTGTTAGTTTAATGAGACAAAACATGCTTTACCAAAAGGACATCAAGATTGATTTTGTTTATTAAAATAGCATCAAGCTTTATTTTGGTCCTTTTACTATTGCACTTGACTCATCGTTAGCGTATTATGGGCTATTGAAAAGAGATCTGACAGAAAAAGTCTCTGTTATGAATGGGCCTTTTAATAATGACGCTGAGAGCAGAGGAGCGGACAGCAGCACACAAAGACCTGCTCAAACAAAGAGGTCTTCTGTATATCTCTGAAGGACTCCACTGTACTCTAATGCATGGAGTACAATTAGCAAAGCAGGACGTATAGGCTCTGCGTTATAGGAATGTGTCCTCTTCTTTTTTGCTTCTGTTGACATTGGTTTTGCAGTCAACCCTGCGGACACCATTACCCAGTCACTGCTGCATGTGTGTGTTATAGATGTGAGGCTCCTTACGTCACATGACCTCAGGCTCTGTTGCCGTGGAAACCCCTAGACGCTAAAGCCAGGGAACATTTATTAGCGCATAAATCTTTCACTCTACATCTATGACGGTTGAATTAGAGTTTCCAGAAATCATTGTAGAACTGTAAAAATAAAGACTTATTTAATAAAAAAGCAATATTTGTGAGCAGCATAACAACTAGACCAACATAAGCCCTATTTGCATTGTACAGAGCTCAGGATCGAAGGCCAAAAAGCAATCGTTATTTACAAAGTCTGCCATGTTTTTGGCAGCAGTGCAAAACATCCATTCCATAGAGATACATTAGCTAAAACAGCGCTGCAAAAAAAAACATGGTGGAACAATTCAATACTATTGGGACACTACCGTTAAATACATTTATCATTAAGTGAGAATTCTGATTATGTGTGACAAGCTCTAGGAGGCTGAGTAATTTTTTTTCCACCCTAACATGCCCAAGGGTGAAATACTGGCTTTAACTATTCCATCTGGGCTGAATAATTATTGTCATTATAATGTGTTATATCAGTTAACTAAGTGAATTTTTTCTTAGTTATCTGACTGCAACACAATTAAAGACACTCACTATAGACAGTATAAATTATATTATTCTTACAACAACAGTACAGTCACTAGCCTAGTGTAGCTGCTTGCCGTATGAAGAAAAGAGTTTGTAAATCTTAGCTGTTGCTTAAAAGTGCACTGTGGAACATTTCTATTGAAGTATAGTATCCTCGACCTGATGTCTCCATGGAAATGTTATTCTCTGTTATTGCCTTAGGTTTAATCTGTGTGTGTCTGTGGAGCATATCTATTACAAGGGAGACAAACAGGTTACAGCATTACACAACATTACAGGTCAGATCTGTGGAGCGCCGTCCCTATTCACAGAAGAATTTGTAATTTTGAACAATAGAAACACCTGTAATGAATAAATGCTAGATGTAAATGTTTAACGCCATACCATGGAACATTAAAGCAAAGTAATAACCATGGAAACAATCAGGTGGCAGTCCCTCCACCAGAAAAACGCAGTGCATATATGTCGACTTTGATAAAACATAATGTTACATAATTGCCCTAATACATTTCTGCAGCTGTTTTTAAAGTCAGACAGAATCTTATGGGAACACTTCCTCAGGCCATTACTGTTCACTCTGAGCAGACTTCAACTTGTTCCACTCATCCCTGTCTCCAATGCCTCATCAGCACAAAGAGACCCACACAGACGTATTAAATGTCCACATGAACTCAGCTCGACCCCCGGAGGCACTTTAGAACAGTCAATTTATCATCCAAATTCACTGACAGTCAGTAGAACATTAAAGTGCCTGTGACAGGTTGCACTACTCATTTAGCAAAAACACAGTTAAGATCACTAGATCACAAGATTTTACAAAACATTTTACAATTTTAACCAATTTCACAAATTTTTAGGTTTCAAATTTTACTTCCCAGCTGTATAATACATATATAATAAAACACCTTTATTTAGTTGAATTTGTGTTGAAAGTTGCAGGTCCGTACTGTCCCTGAACACACCCCCAGAGTCACGTGCGTTTGTTTACACCCGCAGACACAGATCCATGTGCGCAACACTGAGATTATATTATTTTTACGGACAATCGGTTTGAGTCTGGATTAAAAGGACATTTATTAGTGTAGACTTGTGATGTGAGGAGGAGCCTGTGTGAGCGGTGAGTGTTGGAAATGCATCGACTTTGAAGCTAGTTTTGGTTCGTTCTGATAGGTAAGCGAATAGCTGCTGTCGCTCTCACACATAAACAGGCTGTTTTCTTTTGGCCTATTGTAAAGGCCGTATTGGCCGTATATTTGATACTGGACATGCATTGATATGTAAATGAGCTGTGAATAGAGGTGTGAATGATGAAATTTGCGCATATAATTAATTACCGCGGCACGCAGCATTTACAGCTAAAGGCTAATAGCGATTGTTTATTTACTAGCTAGGCTAGTAGTGATGAGTGGGTCGCGAACGAAGCGGCTCTTAGAGCCGGCTCTTTGAAGCGAACGACGTGAGCCTGATCCTTATTGGGATTGGAGGTCGTGTTTTTTCTTTCTCTCACTTTTTTTCTCTTCCCGCCGCGTGCAGACTCGTGGTAGTTTGACAGCCGCTAAAAATGAAACTTTCAAAAATATGCGTGTGCATAGGATAGAAAAAACGTGCATAAAATACATAAACCAGGACTAATCTTGGGGTCGAGAGAGGGAGAGAGATAGAGACCGAGTATGGTTCAGTTCTTGTTTAGTCCTGCTTTAGACCTGCTTTAGACCTGCCTTAGACCTGCCTTAGACCTGCTTTAGTCCTATGACATATCATGTAAAGAGGCAAAATAACAATAAATGTTGCCTAAATAAACCCAGTTTAAAAACCACCAGAACCAAGCCTAAGTTTTTTTTTATATAATTCAAGACTTACAGTGAATTTATCCATCACTAAATATATCGGCGATTATATCAGCTATCGGCAGCCCCAACTCCCATTATATCGGTATCATATCGGCAACAACAAAATCCATATCGGTCGGGCTCTAGAATTATTAATGTTTTCTAATTTTAGGCAATGGAGAGCAAGCTGCTGGTGGGAGGCAAAAACATCATCGACCACACCAACGAGCAGCAGAAGATGTTGGAGATGAGGAGACATGAGATTGCTGAGCAGGTGAGCAGAACATTTAAGGCAATAGTTATTCAATAATAGTTACACTGAGAAAATATGTTACATTTTTGTTTGTGTTTAGACTCGCAGTGAGAGAGAGATGCAGCAGCAGATGTTGATACAGGACGAGGAGACGCTGGAGCTCAGAGAAACATTCACTTCATTACAACAGGAAGTGGAGGCTAAGACCAAGAAACTCAAAAAGGTATGTATTTACACCAGTGGTTCTCAAACTTTTCACATCTAATAAAACCACTTACCACCTAATAAAATCTGATCTAAAGCAGGACTCTACCAGGTCTAAAGTTGGACCAGATGGTGGCTAGAACAGTTGTGGCAAGTAATGCATAGGAGGATGAAAACATGGACGAATTAGTTTCTAAATTAAACATATAATGGAACTGCAGAGGAGCCATACCCCCTGTGAAAACAATTTAGATTGTAGATCATCTCCAAATGTGGCCGTCAGGTTTTTATTCATAACTACAGTGTAATCTACTACTCCTGTGTAGCACTGAATGAAACAGTAAAATAAACTAAATATTAATACGTACAATTACAGTTTTAACGCTTGTTTTGTTCTAATTTGCCTGTGTACCTGTGTGTTGATCCTGACTCGGACTATGCCTTGGATCCTGTTTAGTATCTGAAGGTTTGTCCTGCCGTCTGCCCTCCTCTCCCACCCAAATGACCTCCTGTCTTGGGCCTCCTACCACCCTCACTAACCATGATGATGTTTTTCCTGACTGAATGTCCAGAGATGCAAAATGCCTTTGACAAAGAGCTAACTCACCATTTCCCTGTTTCCCAGCAGAACCTCATAAGGTCCCATTTGAGGAGATGACTGGATAACAATGTAACTCTGATAATGATGAAATCTGATTCCTTTTCACTCTAACGCACAAGTTTGCCATCTCCACACCTCACTTTGCATGAACCAACCATTCAGATTATGTACTGTGTCTGTTATGGGGTTGTCCTAAAAATCAATACCAAAATTTTAAGCGATAACTTAAACTAGTATCGTCTTTTATTTAATTGTGCCATTGAAACTGGATTTCAAACCTCTTCCCTAGTATTGAAATTTGAGTACTATTGACAACACAAATCTATTTGAAGCAACATTAACCAAATCTGTTCTAACTGTGTCTATAACATTTTTAAAAATTCAAAGAAAGATTAAAAAAAATTGGTCTAGTGTCTTTGGCTATAGCACTTATCTGGGGTCAAATGAATATAAATCTTGAATGAGAAGTCAAGAATTAATAATTTGCTGCCCGTGAGCTAGCGATGAAGGAGCAGACCTCTGTATGCCGCGCTGCTATTGGCTGAATTGTGCTGTTGCTACGGGCGACCAGCTCCAGCCAATCAGAGATTTCAGCTGCTGCTCTGCTCTGACTGTGTCTTTTTGCTTGTGGCTTTGTTGTTGTAGCTGTACGCCAAACTCCAGTGCATCAAAACGGAGATAAAAGATGTGAACGACGAGCACGTGAGGAGCCGGCAGGAGCTGGAACAAACCCAGAATGAACTCACAAGAGAGCTCAAGTTCAAGTGAGTCAGGACCAGTGCTAATATTAAATACAGACTGATAAGGATACATGTGATTTGAAAAGACAATGTTGAACTTTACGACTGTTTTTGGAAAAATTCAATCACAAGAAAAGCTAAACATTACATACTTTTAATGTACACTCTTATCCTGCATGAAAGTGTGAAACATTAAAGTTAAATTTGCTCATGGATTAGGTTCCACAAGCAGAGACAATAAGGGCCTGGAACAAAAATAAAAGCTTTGTTTATTGGTATAACTCTTTCATTTTTCACGTACATTACATTATATTATTTTTAAGGCCCACAAGGAAGAGCTCACCACTCTACCATGAACACTGGTCTTATGGTTAAGAGTCAGTGGTCCAGATGACAAAGCTTTGTAAACATACTGATGTATCTATGTGCACAGTACTTCAAAAATACTTTTCATTAACTAGTAAATGCAGAATTAACACCTTTATTAAATTGGGTTGAATGGACAACCACTGAAAAGACCCATGATAGAATACACATAATAATTTGCATACCAGCAGTCTGATACTCTTAACACAACTGATGGGACATTCCTTTGTTTTGTTTCGACAGATATTTGATCATAGAAAACTTCATCCCCCCTGAGGAAAAGAACAAAATTATGAACAGACTGACCTTTGACCCAGAGGAAGACCAGTGGAAGTTTCAGCCTCTTGTTCAGTCGGAGAGGTTTGTGTCCCATCATGAATATATTCTCATTTGGGTGTCCATTATATGTGCTCTTGTTTCTCTGGGCCTTATACATTATTGATTTGGTAGTATTGATCCATCTCTCTTTGTTTGCACAGTAAGTCGTCCCAGATGAAGAAAAGGCCCTCCTCCGCAGTCGGATACAAACGTCCTATCACGCAGTTTGCCCGGGTTGCCATGACAATGGGTCTTCGTACTAGATACAGGGTTAGTTAAAAGTTTTTTCCCCATTTGCATACTAATATTTAAAATAGTAATTTGGAGTGAGATGCTTGTTATACAAAATAAATATCAAGTATTTCCATCCTCCTGTGTATTTGAAGTGACCAGTCTATTTTTAGATCATAACAGGCACTTACATCTTCCTGTTTCTATAGAGAACAAGTTACAAAGGTTGTACTATATTATTGAGAAACACCAACAGAAAGGACCGGTGCATACTGCCATTGTGTCCCTGCCTCCAGTGACTTCAGTGAATCAAAACAAAAGAAATCAGATTATAGAAACAACTTAACTAGTTTACACTGATATGTCATGTACTGTTCAGTTTAAATCAAATTAACGATCAAATCAAATTAAACTAAAATGAGAGTTTGAGAACTGCAGACTGTAGTTTTTTATTCCACTCTTAATAGTCAATTCAGTGTAGAATATAATCATCATCATATAATATAATCATGTTTTTTTAAATCATCCCAACTGTCTCTGTTTTTGTCTGTGTTGATCTGAAGGCTGAGAACGTCATGCTTCTGGAGCTGGACATGAACCCTCTGAACATCAACTCTCCAGATCGCTATTCCGAGTCCGACCCTTCCCAGAGCCCATCTCAGGACAGCTCCCCTTCCAAGGACAGGGGCGTCTGCAAGTCCAACTCCTGGTCAGTGTACAACTCAGCCATCTCTAAGATACTATTATATTATACTACAATGAAAGACAATTATTACGTTATGTACTATACATTATTTTATTTAATATTAGGTAGCTAAATCAACATACTTTAACTACATAATGTAACACTTAATAAAACTTGTGGCTTCCTTACAAAGAACTATTTTGCTAATTTGTACAATCCAAGACATAGGACATTAAGGCGTGTAATCGGGTTAGTACTGGTGCATCCCTCAAATGGATTTATCAGTATAATCCTTACCTTCTAATCTTTTCTAATCTCATAGTTTATCTCCTCATTTCCTTATAATATCTGTCATAGGTTAATCGCAAACTGCTACATATCCAGTCAGCTTTTTATTAAATTTTTCTCCTTTTTACAGGTGCCAGTCCCAGAAATCTCTCAAGTCGTCTTCGTCTAATGGTTCACTTGTGGCTTGTCAAACACCTGCTGTGGCACAATGAAACTTGTTTTTTATTATTTATATCTATTTAATTTATTTTAAGGACAACCTCTTGGACATGTTGAACTTTATACCATGCTGCAGTGACGTTAGAAGATTGAGGAAAACACCTACATTTTCCCCGTTGATTGATTACAAAAACTGTTCCCCTCTCACCTGTGCATGAAATCACAGACTCCAGTATGAGCCTGTGTAAAGTAACATTTGAGTTTTGAGCAGGATTTTGGACAGTTCATTGATAACTATATGTCTGTATGTGCTGTAGGAAAAGTAGAAAAATAATTTATTGTACAGTTGTTTGTGTGTTCGTCAATGGTCAGAGGCGGCAGTTGATTCAGCCAGAATGACGACCTTTATCAAATGTTTCCATGCACTGTTTCTGTCTCTCCACTGAAACTAAAGCCTTATAAATAATATTAAAATGTGTGTGGCATTAGGGACATTGCTGAAGGATTTTTTTGTCACATCATCAAGAATAGTTTTAAAGGTGCTTTACTTGGGCACAACCATGATATGCAATGCTGTCAATTCTGCCAAGTAGGTTTTTACCGACTGAAAAAACATTAGACAAGACATTTTATTTATTAGCTGCATCTAACATTTGCATCTAAAATCTTTCAGCAATCCCTTACTATTTGTACAAAGGTAAACGCTTCTGAAATGTTATAAAGTGAAAAAGTGTATGCGAAAAATGTATTGAAAACTGAATCTACCTGCTGTGTGTGGACCTCACTGTGTTTGTACAGCGCAGTGTCACAGGGTTTACTGAAGGTGCCTAGAGGTCAGATGAATCAGGCGGGGGGGCCAGGCTAATTCATCCCTTTATTATTGATGCTGTAGATCAGATTACAACGAAAATCCACACAGGACAATGGTGTAACTGAGAATCACACATCTAAAATTCACCAGTGTTGAATATTATGTTTGGCATTGTAAGAAAAATTTAAGTTTATCAGTGAGTGTTAAGTGTCGATAACTGTTGTGGATATTGCTTATTTCAGTAGTTCAATTCAGACCGACAAAATGTGCCCTATGCTGTTTTTACATGAATTTGGATCATTATTGATTTTAACTTGTATTAAAATGTTCATCTTTTTAATTTGCAGAAATGATAAGGTTACATTTTGTACCATATTTCATTTTGTCCATTCCAAATCTATTAAGTTTTTATTGAACTGCTGAAATAGCTTGAAATGTGTTTTCTGAAAAAAAGTAATGAAATAAATACTTAAGAACATGGAGATTCAAATGTAGCTCTGTTTTGTTGCAGGGTTTACCCATTTCTGCATCATTTCAATTTTATCATGTGGCACAATTGACCCAGTTTGTTCCAAGTTTAAATAAATGGCTGTATTCGTGTAGTGGGGGTCGCACATGCATTTACATGTGCTCAATTAGAATATAACGATTTTGAGATTGTTATGTATATTTAAAAGAAGGTGGTGATGATGTAAGTAAATGCATTGTATCCTGTTCTGCACTTTGGCTTAGGAGCAAGTAAGTGAATAAAACAAGAAGCAAACAAGATGCTTTTTAAGATGTTCATTTAAGTTTTATATTGGAATTCCTCATTGCTGCAACAAAGTCAGTATTATTCCTGTTCATTTATACTACAATATAAATCAATAGTAATCAGTGTTTGTAAAATGCTTATAACAAATAGTATATTGTGAAACTATTGGGTGAGAGGTTGGGGGAGGGATATACAGGAATCCAGAAAGTGACCCCAAAATGCTGTGGTAATCAAAGGAAACTGAGGATGGTGTTTCCATGACGACCTGGAGTAAAGGGGGAGGAGTGCTGGTGATGGTGGGATGTGTGGGGGGTTTTCCTGTGTAGTAGTTTGTGATGTGTCGAAACGGGCCAATAAAGACAGCATCTCTGGCACCTGCTGCCACGTGCAAATCAATGGGATCCATGACTCAAGATTTGTGTCGTTTGATTTTTCCAGATAAGGAAGCGACTAGTTCAACAATACTGACTGAACATGTAACATTCGGTAGGTTTACAGGCTTTACAGGCATATAATTTGTCTCCTGGTGTTAAGAAAACAAATAAAAAATAAATTAAAGTATTCTTTTATCTATCTATTTATTTATCTAATCTAATTAATGAGAATTATTTCAATACTCCTACACTTCTGGAGCACTCCACGTGACTGGTTAGATGCTGTGAAATAACGCCCTCTGCTGGTAGGATTTTGCAATTACATATAGGTTATTTTAGACAGTCATCAAAGTTCAAAATTAAAACATGCACATAAGTAATACAGGATAGTTATTGATTGTTTAGTGGTTATATTTACTTTATTTGCAATATATTTTCAGTCTCAGTGTTTTAAGTTCAAAACAAGCTCACATAAAAAAAAAAATAAAGTTTTGTACATTACAGGTGGATATTTCAAAAGTAAAAACTCAGTTGCAGTTAATGTAACCAGTATGGAGTAGATAGAATATACAGTTGTAGTATACTAAAAGGTAAAGCACATCTGACACTTTTTCACTCTACTCCACCCTTAGCAGCATAAGCATTTATCAGCGAAACACCAGACAGACTTGATGGAAACTCACAACTTAGCTCATCTATGCGGCCTTTCAGAGTCACATTGGTCTGTTGGATCCAGGTCACAAAGTCCTTTAAGCCTGGGCCACAGTGAAATCGGTTCATCCTCAAATTGAGAACCTGGAGTGAGTTGAATATTTGGGGTTGGGGCTCAATTATGAAGTTATTCGCGAGATTCAGTGTTTGTAGATTTGGAGGAATGACATTGTCCTGAATGTGTGTCAAAGCATTTGATGATAGATCAATTTGCTTGATGGATTTAAGGCCCTTGAAAATACTGAAAGGTAATGTCCGGATCCCATTGTTAGTAAGGCTGAGAAATTGTAATTGTCCAAGATGGTCAAATAAATCCAAGCATTTTCCTTTTGACCAAATAGGCTGTAGTGAGATATGATCAAGATATAACATTTTTAATTGAGTTGATGTTATACGTGAATCCACTATGCATGTTTCAACTGGATTATATTTAAAAATAAGATACTGGAGGTTTTTAAATGTGCTTAAAAACATGTACACATCTCCCAAATTTGTCAGTTTGTTACTCGAAACATCTAAGTACTTTGTTGAACCAGCAAAATGTGCAATATTGTAGGTGGATTTTAATTTATTGTCATCCAATTTAAGTATTTGCAACTTTGGTAAAGAAGCAGGGAATCCTAAATTTGCAATGGCATTACCTGTTAGGAATAGTGCCTGCAGATTTGTAAGACCTCTGAAAGACTGGTACCCAAGCACCCCAATGTGATTATGGGACAAGTCTAGCACTTTCAAATTGGTCAAAACAGCAAAAGTATAAGAATAGAGCTCACCAAGTAGATTGTGTGACAAGTTCAGACTCTGTAAACTTGTCTGAAGACCATCAAATGCATTTATATCAATTTGATTTACATTATTTTGTGATATATCAAGCATTTGGATGCCTTTGAATGGGCTAAAGACACCATGTTTTAATGCAAAAATCCAATTTGTAGACATATCCAACTGTTGCAGGTGACTGTCCCTTAGGCCTTCAAATGTTGTGTTGTCTGGATCAGGTAAATTGTTGAATGAAAACCCTCGACCGTAACGCCCAGAAAGTTTAAGCTTGTTGATTTTTGTCCCTTGTATTGCTTTGAAAAATTGCTTTAGACTGGACAAATTCATATAGTTGTCCGAAAAATCAATGAACTCAAATGACATGTTTTTAAATGGGTTGCCACATTTTTCCCAGTCAAAATCTTCACTTGACATGGTCCTAAGCTGCACACTGTTCAGATTGACATGCCCGAAGTTTTTGCCCTTAAATCCAGCCATATCAGCTTCACAAATTCGATCAAGTGAATTCAATTTCAGATTCAAATTTTTCAAGTTGGTCATGTTAGTAAAATGCATTGCAGGTTGTAGCCTCTTAATCTTGTTTCCAAATAGATCAAGAGTCTCCAGAGATGTGAGTGGTTCCAAAACGGCGCTGTTTAGTATAGTTTTGTTCAAATTGCAGTATTCTAAATATAAAAGTTTCAAGTTGGACAGTCCCACGAATGCACTTGGCTCTAACTGCAGATTCCTATTTGAACTCAGCACAAGTCTGGTCAGGTTTGTCTGTTTGCTGAAAGCGTTGTTGCGAATCACAAGTGGAACATTTTGGTGACCTAAGTCCAGATGTTGTAGCATGGGGAGCTGGGACAGAGAAGTGGCTGTGATTTCATGGATTCGGTTCATCTCCAGAAACAAGTGTGTGATGTGTGGAGGGAGCTCAGGGACAGAGCTGAGGTTTTTGAAGGCACAGAAAGCCACAGGGCCAGTGATGATGCATGAGGAACAACTTTGGAGCTGCACAAAGTAATGGAAAACACATAACATAAATATCATACAGAGGCTATCGCAACAACAAAAATATTGTCTCAAAATTATTAGAACATTTTGGCCTGGTTAATCATTTTGTAGATGTTATTCTGAACTGACTTAGGTGAGCCTTTTGTCATAACATTGTTTCTTTATTAAAAGACATAGGCCTACTAAAGGTAGTATTTTGCTTCTCTTTTTTGTGAATATTGCTGAACATAAGTCAAAATATTAGATTTACACCTGTGATGTCACTAGGTGGTCATCCAGAATATGCTTTCCCTATTAAATCTCAGCAACTAAAGTGTTAAAAATTAGGTTAAAGTTAAAAAATCTGGAAAATTGAAAATATTTGTGTTTAAATACAGATGTTTGAGTAGTCATAATAAAAAAAAAAAAATAACAAAATTCACTGTATGTTGGCCCTATGAATGTGATGCAAGAACTTGCCAAAAAGTTGTATTTTGTACATACCTGGAGGACAGTGCAGATCATTGCCATTTGAAGGGACAGTCTCCACATCTTCATTGTCTTGTTAGATTCCCGCGACAGTATATTTCTCAGTCTTCACACGTATGTGCTTTACACCTCTTCTGCGCTTATGTTTCTGATCCACAGTTATATTAGCATGTATTGCACCACAATATGACCCAACTTAAACATTGACGTGATGGGCTTTTCCTGTTCGCTTCAGAGTTTCAGTAAACAGGGAAACTCCTATTTTTGCATGCCTGCTCTTGTAATTTTGGTTCACTGGGGAAACAACAGGTATTATTAATGCGTACATTTTGCTCACACTTTACACAATACAATCAATACACTTGCATCCTGTTACTATTAGACTGTATAAAGAAGAAGAAATTGAAAGGAACAGATGTAAAAGAGAAAAGGCTCAAGTCCACCAAGTCTTATTTGTACAGTCACTGACAAACAGAGGAGCAGTGAATGTCCTCCACTGAAAACAACACTTCACTCTATAATCCACTGTCTCTAATGGACATTAACAATGCCACAATTAGATAAAGTGGGCAACCTTTTTACATTAAAGAAATATTCACAGAAGAAGGGGAAATCTAAGGTCAGAGGATTGTGGGTTTATAGTTCACTTACACTGTTGTGGTGAATTTCACAAATGGAGGAGAATGAAGCAACTCAAACAGTGAATAAAGGTAGTTGGCTGGCACAGGGGCAAACATGGTGTAAAGCAGGGGTCTCCAACCTTTTTCCTGTGCTGAGCTACTTTTACAAAACAAAAATGCCAGAGAGCTACTAATTTTACCAGTCACAAAAAATAAAAAAAGTAGAAGAGCCATGGTGAAGGAATAGTTAGAAGCTTAAAAAACATAAACCTTTATCCATTCATTAGTGCAGAAGCATCAAAATGATACATTTACAATGGTAAATAATCAGATTTTTGTTATTAAGCACAAAATGCATAATTCAGAATTCCGATGGTGGGCTACATGGAAGAGGGGGGAGATCTACTGATAGTTCCTGAGCTCCAGGTTGGAGACCCCTGAGTGTACAGCTTAAACCAGACATGTTTGGTTTGGTGGTCCATTGAAAAAATCTGCCACAAGAAAACCTATTAAACTAATACACATGATGTCTGACTGGTGTGATTATGATGTGCAACATTCTCTTTCTCACTTTTTAATGTTGTCTGACAAATAGGATCCAACGTACAACCAAGGCATTTGACAATGAAACAGTATCAAACATCATATTATGCTTATATTACACATAGACTGAGCATATTTTGCATAAATAGAGCCTGCATCTAAGCAAATATTTAAATGATGGATCTTAGTTTTGTAACAATAAAACAAATATTGTGACATTGTATTGTCAAAGTTCTCACAATAATATCATGGACCATCACAATATATCGAATTACAAGTCTTCTTTGCTTAAATTAAGAGTTATGGTGCAGCAATATTAGCAATCGTATTGTGAGGGATCGTTATACCCCTAATGGATATAGATAGAGAAATTTTGATTTACATTTAGGCCTAAACTTCAACATGATTAGTTTAATCTTTGCATTAGCTGGGTTGGTGCACTCTGACCACAGACTAAACTTAATTTACATGGCAAAGACCAGGCTTTCACTAGTCACTGTACAGCCGCTGCCCTGTTACATCTATAGAGCGGGCTAATAAGTGGGTTTTGTATCTTTTGTGTTGCTGTCAAAGGGGGCGCGCGGTGGGCGGACGCACGGGCGCACAGAGGAGTGACTTTCTTTCAAAAATAGTAGCCTACACTCCGTCGAGGCTGCACCCGGTAACTACACGCGAGAGGGGCAGCTATGGAGGCTGGGAAATATGATTTTTTACGGAAATAAACTTCATAGCTGGATGTTTAAACAAAATAGGAAGACGCTGTGGACGTAAGAAAGAGGAAGCGGAGATTTGAGTAAAAGTGCATACCCGTGCGTTCATGTTATTTGGCGACGAATACCTGCCGAAAATAGTCCCCCCGGTGAGTAAAACCCGAGTCGTGTTGCCTATTATGGCGTATACTAAAGTAAAAAAACGACATAGCTATAGTTTGGTATATGTCTATGAAATTATAAGTTAAAATGTTGTGGTGGTTGACTTATTCATTCGATGGAACAAGGTGAACATGGAGTTAAAGTTTTTTGCAACATGGCCGCTCAGATTTCTGTTTCCTCAAGTTTGTTTTATAAAAGATTTACATTTTAATACATAGTTCAGTGTATTATTTATTCAATGATCTTGGTGTTTTTTCCTAACTGAGGGAAAATGTCCGATCTAGTGGCCCTTGTGTGTAGTAGATGCCGTGGGTAGTAGCTCCATTTAAACCTATGACGCTCTCTGAAGGCATGCCCACTTTTCAAATCATAACCACTGCTGGAATGAAGTGGTCCGTTCATTTGTTTGAGGGCTCATGGTCTCATCCAAGTAACAACATGACTCATTATGGACCGTAGTAAAGATGTAATATAAAAAGAAAGTGCTTTACAATTATTTTCCCCATTCACTGCATGATAAATTTGTATAATTTTTAGAGACAGAGATGGATAAGGAAACCAAATCAAGATGTATATTATCTGTGGAAAAATGAACCATAGACAACCACTGGATCAAAACTTATTTTTTCTACTTTCTGTAAATAATGTGGTTTTATAAATAACATACCTAAAAGTGCAATAAAATAAACTTGGGACTTCATTATAGTATAGGGTGACCAGATGTCCCCATTTGCTCAGGAAATGTATTGATTTGTCCCAGTTTTATACAAGAAATGTCCCAGGTGTCCTATTTTTGACCAATTTGATCCCTGCCAACAGTAAAGTGAGGCATAAATGGTCATTTGTTTAGGTAAAATACAGAAAAACAGCTTAAAAATGACCAAAATACAAAGAAAATGTGACTATACTGACTCACATTAGTTCAGAGTGCAAAACAGTTTTCCTTAATTTTGCACTCGTTTCACAATTTTATTATAACCAACCACCCCAAACCAGGGATGTCCCAGTTTCTTATTTTGAAAATCTGGTCACCCTATTATAGTACACTAAATAGTAACATTTAACAGTCTCAGCTGAATGCATGCTTTTATTATGAGCATCTGTTTCTTGAATAACATTGAGGACTGCAAATTTAAGAAATGCTCTTAAAGATGGAGAATAAAAGTAATATTGAATTGGGTGTGTGATGTTTTAGGCTTTGAGAGATAATAAAGTAGATCATATATTAGTTCTGGTCATTTTAAACACACTTAATGTTTCTAATTTTACTAAATGTGACGTCAGAAATCAAAATACATTTAGTCTGGAAGCAATAAATGAAGCTTTATAATTTGTTTTCTTAATTACTAAATCTCAGAATACATAAATAAATACAGTTTATCAAATACTTAGGTAAAAATCTCTGATCCCTTTTGTAAACATAATGCTTAAAGGTCTTGAATCTTCCACTCTCACATGCATCTACTAATGTCTATTTAATGTTTGCTGGTCTTGAACCCACATGTCTTCAATGGAAACTCCTTTTGGCTGTAGATTTGCACTGTGCCGGTATCTCAGTGGCTGTGGGTGGGATCATTGCTGTGGTGGTGAGTGAGTAACCTATGATTAGGAAAAGACTCATTCCTCACGCAGCTTTATATAATTTCACAGCAGCTGCTTTTTTATTAAAATCTTGCTGTTACTCATTTGTGACCGCTGCTGACCCCAACTCTGAAGCTTTTGGTGTAGTTTTTTGTTGTCTGACACATAATTGCCTTTCTAACCTTGAGTAGCACTAATGTAGCCGTTTGTCATAATCATCAATCTTCACCACTGTGGAATGAAGTATATTTCCTCTTTTACACACAGCTTGTTGACTTCCGGAGCTGTGGCTTTTTTTTTTGCATGTTGCTCTTTCATCACTGTATTTCCGTTGTCTGTTGAACTTTCTCTTTTTAAATGAAATATCAATCCAGTAATACATTACTACTTGAATAAAAAATTGTGTTACTAGGCTCTAAATATGCATAGATAACTTGTTGCATATTTTTAAACTGATAAACTTCTTGTAATGGGACTTGTATAGCACAGGATACACTATTGGTGCTATATAAGACTAATGCATTAGTAATATCAATTTGCCATATAGTAGAATTGTTGTCACGATACTAAAATTTCAAACTTGATATTGACACAAAGGAATAGACTCAGTAATCCATACAGATTACAATACCACGATGATAATTTAAACCACTCTTTTCTTTTTCTTTAGACAATAGAAAGAGATTTTCAACATTAGATCATAGTACTTTCTTTTATATTACCATGTGGTCTTTTATTTGTGTGATCTGTCAGTCATCCAGGTAGGTGCCATAGTCCATGGGTGTATACTAGTCCACGTGCTCTTACTTATTTACTTGTTCTGATACAGCTCAAAATATTTCTAAAGCTATTCAGGACAGGTTCATTTCTATCCTGTGAATGTGACTTTTTAGTATTGATACTTGCTCAAATGAGTATCTAGTTTTGGTATTAGTATTTTCAACACTTTTGACAACCCTACCCTATAGATCAGTTTTTCTGCTCTTCTGTCAGTTCTCAACAGGAAATAATATGTTGCCTCCCCTCATTTGAAGCCTAAATATTGTTGTGTTTACATAAAATAGTCAAGCAAGGTTGGTACAACACACCATAGTGTAGTAGTTAGGTTTGTATGAAAATAAAATGCATATGTTTTTGAACTTTATTTTGTCTGCGGTCTTAAGAGCCACCAGCTTAACCCATTTTTTGTAAATTGGCAAAATAAAAACTACTACTGCTACTTTTCATAATGTACTAGGCAAGCAGCAGTAAATATGTAGTAAGTACTGGAACACTGTGGGCCCTTTTCTGTTCTGTGTTATTAATCTTCCACATGACCACATCCAACTTAATATTATTGGAATAATGATAAAGACAGTATATATGGTATCTTATTGGTTGAAATTTAGATCTTATTAACATAATCAAAATCTCAGGACACTAGTTTAAAGTGTATTTAATCTCTGGTGACACTTTGGGACTCTATGTTAGAGGGTTATGTCATTATGGGACGCGCCAGCCATCCTAAAGGCACCTCTTAAAAGCATGTAACTAGAGATTTGTGACTTCTGTT